CCCCCAAATTTTACGATAATCTAATTTCATGATAATCTGTAATATATATTATATATTATAGAATGCGACCAAAAAATTAGCACATGATTTATTTCATAATCATAAACTGGCTAGCAATAAAGAGATAAAAGAGCAACTTAAAAAAATACTAGAAAATAATGATGAATATAAGAAAAATCTACAAAAATTAAATGAAAAAAGTGTTTCGTTTAACAAGTTTTGGAGTGATAAGCTTTATTCAGAAGTAGGCATTTTAATCCAATTTTACTTATATGAGTGCTGCAAGAGTAAACCCACAATTTTAAAAATAGATTATTATAAATTTCATAATCTATTTTTAAAATTGCATATTTACTCTTGCGGTACTGATATATAATTACTAAATATTAGATTTAATTTATTTAATAAACAAATACTTTCAGCCATTCAGTTAAAAAAAGGTTATTATATTTGATGCATGAAAGAGAGATTGTGGAGCACTTTTGGTATTAATCGAATAAAACTATTTAGCGAAAAAGACAAAAGCGCAAATGAAAGATTGGAAAAAAAAATTCTAAAAAGGCGTATAATAACTTATACAACCCCTGTGACCCAGATGATCCAAATTCTGATACATTTCTTTCATTAATCATAAAATATGTTTTGTTTCCAATAAAAAAGGTACCCAAGCAAATGCTATTTAGACCCAAGCAGTTCTGGAGACCATTTTTATAAGGAATATCTTTCATCAAAAATTGATGCAGATATCGTCGATGTGTGGATTCAGAAGCTTTTGAACCCTGAGAATAATGAAATATATATATACGTATTATTTATTTATGATTTTACCAATTTATTTGAACTAGAGGTACAGGTGTAACTTTGTAACTTGTTATAACTATAGTGAATTGCTATATTTTTTCTGTAACTTATTATAGTTATGACAAGCTACAGAGTTACACCTGTATCTCTAATTTGAACATGTTATTTTTTTTTTAGGATACTGTTTTGCAAAAAGGTCCTGCAAGTTCTTCTGCAAGTTCACCCACAATATCAGAAGCAGCGATTCAAGAAAACTATGATGAATTATCTAGTGGTGACAATAATGAAAATGATTATAGTAGTGATAGCAATTATGAGGAAAATTAAATCGCAAGAACAATTTAAGTGATTTAATTAGCAATATATTAAGTAGTAGATTAGTATTTAACGATTATTGCATATATTTTGTATATTAGTTATAAGCTTTGCTACGTATTGCTTAATGTATTAAAAAAATACATTTTATAATAAATATCATGGATTATCATAAAATCGGATTATCGTGAAATTTGGATCTATTTTATGTATGATTTTT